TATCTTTCCATTTTTAAAATATAAGTAAATGTGTTTGTCTATTTGCAGCTTCCTCCCCTTCTTAGATAAATGGTAGCATACTCTGCACATTGTGTCCTCCCTTGCCTTTTTCACTTAACACTGTATGCTGGAGATTACACCATGGAAGGGCTAGAGAGAGTCTTCAGCCCTTTTTATAGCTTGCAATTCAAACCATAATGAACCATAACTTCCCAGCCAGATGGCACTTTTACGTCTTAGGCTCAGAAGACCTACTACTAGTGAAGAGTTCCTTATGAGGCTTTACTATAAACATATTTCGGGACTAATGTTGAAAAGGTTGTGCCAAGCAAATGAGTTTTCTTTTCTAAGCTAATACTTTGGAATAGGAAGTGATTTTGCCAGTAGGTGCCGCTGTTAGATAGCTCTGGCATGGTTAATTCTTTGATGACTATCCTCTACTGGAGATATATGTATATGTGTATATATATATATATATGTATTCATAGGGTAAAGAAAATTAAGCCCTATAGAAAAGGTATAAAACTGCTTCTCGTCTGCCCCCATCTTACCTCCCTTCCCCAGCAGCAACTCCTTCTTTATTCTTCTAGAGATTGTGTGTGTGTGTGTACATCCCCCTACCCAGTCACCCATGCATATGTATATATATACCCTCTTAAAAAGTACGTATGTGAGCATGTTTAATCCACAGTTCCCCACCTTGCTTTTTGTACTTATCACTCCACCTCAATGCATAGGGATCTTCCACAGGCTTTCCCTGTTTTATACTATATATAGGTAGGTTGTGTTGTTGTTGTGTGCTGTCGAGTCAATTCCGACTCATAGTACCCTCTAGAACAGAGTAGAACTGCCCCATAGGGTTTCCAAGGAGTGACTGGTGGATTCATACTGCCAACCTTTTGGTTAGCAGCCGATCTCTTAACCACTGTGCCACCGGGGCTCCAATACACTATATGGATGCTCACTATCTATCTAGCTAATCTCATATTGATGAATATTTAGGTTGTGTCCGTTATTTTGCTACTTTAAATCATGCTGCAAATTATTATTCATGTACATATGTCCTTGTGCACCCACATGTGAACACATCTAAGGGATAAATTCCTAGAAGGGGAATTGCTAAGTTAGAGGACATGTGCATTTTCCATTTTGATAGCTTGTATACACGTAAGTGAGATGAGAACAATAAAACCTAATTGCTATTGAACATCTTTATGGCCTGCAGTCAGTTTGTTGGAGAAAAATGGCTGTAAGAATCAGCACTTGTGATGATGGGGGGATGTCTTATTAAAGAAAAAGACTAAGATAATAGATCTACCAGGCAGCAAGCACCATGGAGCCTAAGGAATCAAGTAGACTTTAGCAAATAGCAATTACTTATGGTGAGCAATGGCCATTCTGGCCCTTCTAGGTAAAAAAGTAAACATTTTGGAAACCAGGAGCCTCCTTTTAGGTATATTTGCTGCTAAAATCTGCTTCTTGGGCATCCTGACTTCATTGGGCATGTATGATCCATGTTATGGTTACTCATGAAGTCGGTAGACGCTGGCATCCAACACAGGTGTCTAAGAGGAGGTGTCTTGTATACATGTAAAAGGAGAAATAAATTTTTCTCTAAGAGTGAGAGTACACTCTTTTTGAGTCTGAGAGTACCTAGGGGAGAGTGAGTAAAATTTATTTTATTGTGTCATTTCTCTGCTTAATCCACAAGGTGAAAAAGAAGGCTCTCGAATATTTAGGGTTCTTGCAGCAAATCGTGGCGCAAGCGGTTAAACGCTCAACTACTAGCTCAAACGTTGGTGATTGGAACCCACCCAGGGGCGCCTGGGGACAACAGGCTTGGCAATCTGCTTCCGAAAGGTCACAGCCTTGAAAACCCTATGGAGCAGTTCTACTCTGGACACATGGTGGCCATGAGTCAGAATCAACTTGACGGCAACTAACTAACGACAACAAAGAGCCTTCTAGATGGTGCTTAGCAGGAAGACAGCCATAGCTAACTTACATTCTGACTCAGTATAAATCACTTGGCTGCTGCTGACCTCCTTGACCTTGAATTTGGATTCAGATCTCTCCAGTTCATCTGGAGGGTAGCTCACAGCATTGTGGACTTTAATTTAGAATATTTTTGGCTTCTGAGGCGTATATAGAAAGAATGGTTAAAATCTAGTACTTAGGTATGTGGATGTGCTTAGCTCTAAGCATTTATTTTCTGATTATTGAGAAAGATAACTTTAAAAAAAATCGAAATTTTTATAACACGTAACATCCTGAGAGAAGAATTCATGCTCTACCTTCAAAACACATCAACATACTCATGCACACTTGAATGGTGGTTTTGGTAAGGACAAGTGAGAAATCTGAAGAATTTTAAGCAGACGCAAATGGAAATTTGAGACTGTGATAGTTGATATCATTTCGATTTTTGTTATTTGTCCTAGGTGTGACTTCTTTTACCCCTTTTTGGTCCAGGGATTCTCAAAGCTAGAGTTAATTTTATGTCTGATACAGTGGATTTGTGAAATAGTCCCATATAAGTTAAAGTAGATTTAGATGACGGGTAATTTGTGTTGTACATTAAGCATAATTAATGCATAACATTTTCCTGCCTTTAATTGGAACCCTGTTTTAAGTATTTTCCTCTTCCATGTTATATTTCAACAACTTCATATGGAAAGCAAATTAAGAGCTGTTAAAAACAAAACAAAACAGAGAGCCTGCTTAGAATAATAACCTTTTAAAAACCAAAACCAAACCAGTTGCTGTTGAGTCGATTCTGACACATGGTGACCCCATGTGTGTCAAGAGTAGAACTGTGCTCCATAGGGTTTTTAATGACTGCTTTTTCGAAAGTAGATTGCCAGGCCTTTCTCTGGGGTGGGCTCGAACTGCCGTCCTTTCGGTTCGCAGCTGAGTGCTTAACGATTTGCACCACCCAGGGACTCCAGAGTAATCTTTTAGGCAACTTTTTTTTTCTTCGAGGACTGGTTTATACCTTGAGCACTGAAGCAAGCATTTCTCCATTAGCAGAAAGATCTTATAGAAGTCATTTGGAGGGCAGTTTGGGCTAAAGAACTTTTTTTCTTATAAAAGCAGTCATCAAGAGTACAGCCATCATATGGATAAAATAGCCTTTGATGGACCAGTCTGGGAGCCTAATAGTCATTTGATACTGTCCCTGTCAGGTGACCAGCTGCCCGCTCTATGGGCAGACGAGGTGCAGCAGGGGTGGGGGGAGTGTGGGCACGTGGTCTGTTGCCCACTTTGGAGGGCCTTCAAGGATGCACTTCAAGCCACTGGGGAAATTATGGCCGCCAACTTGACTGACATATCTAGGATACACTTTAAGTTCATTAGGTTAAAAAAATTGGGTCCCAAAGGCAGTAGTTTGCAGGCGGTGATTCTCAAGCTTTTGAGGGTAGGGCCATATCAGAATCTTCCAGAGTGCTTGTGTAGTTTGAATAACATTCAATATTATTGTTTTCTCCATTTTTTAAGTGGAAATACCATATTTTTCTGATGTCAAGTACAGAAAGTTAAGCTTGGAAATTTTGGCTGTGGAGCATGAGTTAGAAAAAAATAAACACATCGTTCAAAGGCTGGTGATAGTGTTCCCGAGGTGGGGAGGATGGGGGACTAGCTGAGGGAGGCAGAAAAATCTTACTCCATGTCTAAAGCACAACTATGCATATAATACAGAAACATATATACTGACTGTATATATGGGGAATTAAAATTTTATTGAGGGGCACGATTAAGAAAAAAGGTTTAAAAAGCCCTTTAAGAGGGCAATAATGAAAAAAAGATTGAGAAACACTGTTCAAAGGGAGTGGGACCCAGTACTGAAATTTGTGCATGTTTTTGACGGGAGGAGAGTTGTGGTAAGGGGAAAAAAACAAAAAACTGTTGTTGTTGAGTTGATTCAGACTCATGGCAACCCTGTGGGTGTCAGAGTAGAACTATGCTCCATAAGATTTTCAATCACTGATTTTTTGGAACTAGATCACCAGGCCTTTCTTCCGAGGCAACTCTGTGTGACCTTGAACCTCTAACCTTTTGGTTAGCAGCCAAGCCCACTAACCATTTGTACCACCCAGGGACTTCCGTGGTAAGGACAAAGGGGAAATAAAAATCTGGCTTCCAGGGCACTTTGGTGACAGGCTATTTGGGCCAGCTTGAGCACATTAGTAACTTGGACTAACTTGAACTTTAATATTTAAGTCTATCAGGTAAGGGGTAAAAGAAAGTTACCCTCCCACCCTGCACCCTCCAGAACTGGACTCAACAAGTGGAACTTGACATTTGGCTGTTTTCTTAGATAAGAAATCCCAGCAGCACAGGATAGCAGAGCTGGAGGGCCCATCTGTCTTCCTTGTCACCTTTTACCTTACATATCACCTACCGAACCGAGATCCTGAGTGGCTAGGTTGGCAGAACTGCCGGAGGGAGGCCCCCCTCCTTGGCAGTGGAGCAGGACCCCAACTCTTGGTCCTGTATTCCTTCTATTCCTGTGTGGGTCATCCGTTCAAAAAGCACGACTTGTGCTGGGAGCTGATTTTACAGACAAGTGTCTATTTTTTGAGGCCCGTTTCTCACCAGCTTTTGAATAGTGTGAAATAAGAGTTGAAATTGGAAATGATGAGAGCACCGAGTAGGAGGCGAGGGAGAGCAAGGAGCAGGGTTATTCTGGTAGAAGAGTCAGGTGAGGGAGTTGGTTTGGCACTTCAGCATTTTTTCCATGCCTCTGACAGGATTTTAGTAGTCTTGGACAAGATCATGGAATATTCTGGGCCTCCGTTTTTTTTCATCTATAAAATCAAATGAGTTGGACTAAGGTTCCTCTGAAACCTATTAAGCTATGAGGGTCAGTACTTGACAAAATGAGACATGTCTGAGAATTTCTTTATTAACAATAGTTGGATGTCATAGCCAGATCATTATAATTGCAATGAATTAAACCAGAGATGCAGGGGGATTCCATGGAGGGTGGGGCCATCTCCCAGGCCGTCTTCTTTCGGTGCTTGGGGTACTGTTTTTTTTTTCCCTTCACTGGGATATCTTTTTTACTAACACCTGGAATTCTTCAAAACTAACTTCTCCATCTCCATTCTTGTCCAGTTCTCGAAAGAGGTCATCTAGGGTGCTTGGACCCTGGTTTTAGACAAAAAGGATGGGATGGGGGAGAGGAAAGAAAATGAATCAGTTACTGCTGTCAAAGAGAGATTGATAGAAGATATCTTGCTTTGATTTTGGGGTTTTCTTGCTCACGGACCCAAATATTCACTCTAAAGAAATTCCTGACCAAAATTAATCCTGCCAGCAGTTTTTCTTTCACCCAAAGTTGAAAATCCTTTCCATCTTGTTCATTCGAAGCCCGGCTTGCTGAATTTGAAATTCAACAGATCTGGTTGGGCGGAGGGCCAGAGACCATCTTGTGACCTGATATCAGGTGATCTCAGTAAAAGGCGGAGAGCAGGGTGCCATCAATCACATTAAGATTAGCCAATGGTTGGTCTTCTATATTTCTCCCTGCCCTTCTCTTTATAAGCCTCATTGTACCTGCCTTCTTCCAGCCATTTGCTTTTTCTGGAATCAAAATGGTCTCCCTACATGCATATAGAATAACTGCTCAGAATGAACCTTATATTCAAATTTTGGTGAGTTTTGCTTATTTTTAACACTGCTATACCAAAAACAAACAAACAAAAAAACCAAATCTGTTGCCGTCGAGTTGATTCCGACTCTTGGCAACCCCATGTGTTACAGGGTAGAACTGCTTCATAGGGTTTTCTTTGCCAGGTCTTTCTGCTATGGTGCTGCTAGGTGGTTTGAACTGCCAACCTTTAGGATAGTAGTTAGGTTAGTAGTTGGGAGCAAGCAGTCTGTACCACCCAGGGACCTGAGTGTCTTAAAAAAAACCAAACCCATTTCCATCGAGTTGATTCTGACTCATAGCGACCCTGTAGGAAGGGTGGAACTGCTCCATGGGTTTCCAAGGCGTGGCTGGTGGATTCAAAACTGCCAACCTTTTGGTTAGCAGCCAGGTTCTTAAGCCACTGAGCCACCAGGGCTCCAGAGTGTCTTAAGCAGGCTTGATTTTTGTCTCTGCCATAAAACTCAAATCTTAAAGCTGTTACAACGCTGACCTTCAAGTAGGCGTCTGTCTGTGGCAAAATGGTACTTAGGAAACCTAATGGATAGCAGTTTAGTTTCTAGGTCAGCTTCAGATTAGATCAACAAGATATATTTTCACCCTAAGATGTCTACAAAGACACTTGGTGGCCTTTTGCCACGATCACAAAACCAACTGTAGGTCTGTTGTTTAGCATAGTTGAAAAACCTTAGTAATTCTTGTGGAAATTAGATGGCTTAATATAACCGGATTTGGTAAGTAGACTTTCAGAACTAATGATTAGTCTTCTTCCTTTTAAAGAATTATAAAAGTCTCAGGTGTTTTTCTATTAGGTTATTATTTTTCTTCCTTTTGGAAAAATGTAATTTTTTTTAGAATTTAATATTTCTCAAAAAACTTTGTGTTTTTATTTTTAATTAAAAAGTATCTTTTTCTGGCAGCACTTTTAACTTTTTTAAAAGTTATTTTATATTTCAACCGTAATAAAATGAGATAATAATCAGATTATAAAGTCATTGAATTCAGACGCTTTTCTTTGTAGTGTTAAAAACAGAAGTCTTCCTAAGTGTCAAACTGGTAGAAGGGACGTTTCTGGTTAAATTCTGGAAAACAGGGACACTTGAAGCAAATGCTTTTGTTGGAAGTTGGAGCTAACTAGTGAGAGAGTCGGATGTCACAATTGCACCGTCGTTTCTGTTGTGAAAATCGTTCTTAGTTGCAAAGGAAAGAAAATAATACTGGAACAGAGAGGACCCGTTTCTAGTCCTTTCCTGAAAGTTGGTTAGCAATGTCTGGCTGCCTCATTAACACAAATATAAGTGCTTAACACAAATTACACACATTTAAATACTTTTGAAATAAATGGGGGCCCACAGAGGACAGCGTGTCAGCTCTGAAGCGGGTTTTCTGAACAGACTGCCAAGTGAGTGTTGGGCTTATTGAGGGACCCCACCTATAAAAATGAAGCCCGGCCCAGGCTAACTACTATTATTCTGCAATCCTCTTTGCTTTCCTAATGCCTGGTGGCGCAGAAGGGCTAGATCCAAGGCCTTAGTGGCGTGCTTGGCATCTTGCGGGTCTCATGGCACGGCTTGGTAAATGCACCGATGACTTCTGTTCAATATGGCGGCCCATGGAGGGCTCCGTGCTGGCGCTGGGGGAGGGGTGGAAGGCTTGGCACCTGTTTGCAGGGAGCTTGCCATGGGAAACGTGGGCTGACACCAGGGGAAGAAAGTACACATTCAAGTGTCCTTCGTCAAGCAATGCTTGTGCCTGGCTGTGGTGCCCTGTTTAGTACCACAGCCTGTAGCCTTTGCCTGCTGTCCTCCCCCCTCCACCTTCTCCACCATCAAAGGTGTGGTTAAGCATGCTGTGCACTCACTTTGGTGATGCAAACAGTTAATGTGCTTTGCTGCTGACCGAAAGGTTTGAGTCTCCTCAGTTGCCTCGGAAGAAAGGCCTGGCAATCTACTTCCAAAAAATCAACCATTGAAAACCCTGAGGAGCGCAGTTCTACTCTGACACACATGGGGTCACCATGAGTTGGATTGACTCAACAGCAACTGGTTTGGTTTGTTTTTTGTATTTTTTTTGACACTTACTTTGAGTAAATTTCGGAATTCCGCCTGAATCAGTAGCTTCAGTTCATCTTTTGACAGCTGGTCTGGATCACCTTCTTTGGCTGCATACTTTGCAAAAATGCTCTTCATTTCCTCAGGAGACTTCTTCAGACTCATCTTGGTGTCCTGTAAGTTGGGAAGGAAATGAATTTACCAAAAAGCTGAAATGGAGTTGCATACTAGGGTGGTCAGCAGGCTTTTAGTGCCATTGGGCCATTCGCTTGGTGAAGGTGGGGAGACTAAAGAAAAGGAAGGGACTGAGGGTCAGGAGAGAGACTCACGGAGGGTGGCCACAGCACCAGTAACTGCCAATTTAATCTTTTTTTTTTTTTTTAAGGCTTAATTTTTTTTTTAAATTGTACTTCAGATGAAGGTTTACAGAACAAATAGTTTCTCATGAAACAGTAGTACACATATTGTTTTATGACATTGATTAACAACCCCACGACATGTCAACCCTCTCCCTTCTCGACCTTTTTTTTTCTTTTTCTTTTTAATTGTACTTCAGGTGAAGGCTTACAGAATAAATAGTTTCTCATGAAACAGTAGTACACATATTGTTTTATGACATTGGTTAACAACCCCACAACATGTCAACCCTCTAACTTCTCAACCTTTTTTTTTGGTAAAAATACACATAGACAAAGATACACCATTTCAAAAATTTCTACGTGCACAGTTCAGTGACATTGACTACGCTCTTCCAATTGTGCTGTTATTCTCACTTAAGATGAAGGCTTACGGAACAAAATAGTTTCTCATTTAACAGTTACTACACATGTTGCCCTATGACAATGGTTAACAATCTCACAACACATCGACAATATCCTTACTCAACCTTGGGTTCCCTATCACCAGCTTCCTTCTCCCCTTCTGCCTTCTGGCCCTTGTCACTGGACTCCTGTACCTCATTAGTCTCATTTGGTTTTACGGGGCTGTCCACTCCCAGGCTGAACAGTGAACCTCGGAGGTAACTTCACCACTGAGCTAAAAGGGTGTCTGGGGGCCATACTCTCGGGGTTTCTCCAGTCTCCTTTAGGCCAGTAAATCTGGTCTTTTTTTTGTGAGTTAGAATTTTGTTTGACGTCCTTCTCCGGCTTTGTCCAGAACCCTCTGCTGTGATCCCGGTCAGAGCAGTGAGTGGTGGTAGCCGGGCACCATCTAGCTGTACTGGACTCAGTCTGGTGGAGGCCTTGGTAGCTGTGGTCCATTAGTCCTTTGGACTAATCTTTTCCTTGTATCCTGTTCTCTTCATTCTCCCCTGCTCCGGAAGGGATGAGACCAGTGGAGTATCTTAGATGGCTGCTCACAGGCTTTTAAGACCCCAGATGCTACTCACCAAGGTAGAATGTAGAACATTGTCTTTATAAACTGTGTTAATTTTTTAACTTTTTATTTTTAAATAATATTAGACCAAAAAAAAACAGTATAAAACTAATAGAGAGTTCACGTATATCCTTCACCCGGCTTCCCCTAATGTTAATAATGTATAACCATAGTACACTTATCAAAATTATAGAAGTCAGGAAATTAACATTGTTACAGTATTGTTAACTGAACTACAGACCTTATGTGAATTTCACCAGTTTTTCCATTAATGTCCTTTTTCTGTGAACTTGTTTTAAAAATAATCATCTTAGATGGTATGTTAAATGTCTAATTCTTAGGAGATGTCTAATTCTTAGGAGATAGTCCCTGGAGCCAAACACTTTCATTAGTAATTAGTGGCATTCTTCGCTTTGTATGCACCTGGTCTGGTTTCTGTAGGCTGTGGTCTTGGGGAACACCTGACCCCAGCTTCTAGTCTCTAAACTAGTGGTAATATCTTTTTTTTTTTCCATTGTGCATTAGGTGAAAGCAGAGAGCAAATTAGATTCCCATTCGATAGTTTGTACATAAAGTATTTCATGGCCTTGGCTTCATTCCCCACAATATGTCAGCACTCTCCCCATTTTCCCCCTGGGTTCCCTGTTTCCTTTCGTCCTGATTTTCTACCCGTTCCTGCCTTCTCATCTTTGCTTTTGGGCAAATATTGCCCTTTTGATATATAATTGATTATTCTAAGGAGGAGATTCCTCTCAGGTGATTTTATGGCCTTGTCTATTGTTTGGCTGGAAAAAACTAATGGTAATATCTTTAGATGGCGCAAACTCATTTACAGACCATTATCTTTCCCCATTCTAAAAGGAAGCACAGTGTTAATGCAAGCAGAAGGAGCTCCAGGTAGTACTAAAAGCACGCTTACCTGGTTGCCCAACAGGGAAACAGCTAGACGAATCAAAGAGGAGCGTGAAGAGCTAAGCAGGATCATTCGACTTTTATAGTCTTTATAGACACACCACCCTGATGATGAAATTTTCCTTTTGCTTATCATTTCAAGGTAATTATTAACGGTTTTTGAAACCCAAGCTTAAGACTGCAGGAACCTCAGAAGATAATGTCTAATTAAGGGCAAGATCCAGTAAGGGGCCACCTCAACGGTGGTTTAATGGTTCAGAGTCCCCAGAGTCAGCCTGGATTTTTTCCCCCTTAGATTGTATTTTCCCTCTAATGTGGAATTCTGATATTTGTGCACAGTTCACATTTTGGGAAGCTTAAGTATGGGGATTTAAAAAAAAAAAAAATCTAGGTGCACCCCGGAAAGCATGGCCCCTGGACTCTCTATCAGCCCAGAACTAAAACAGTTTCTGAGGCCAACTCTTCAGACAGGGATTGGACTGGACTGTGGGACATAAAGTGATACTCGTGAAGAACGTGCCTCTTGGTCAAGTAGATACAAGAGCCCAAAGGGGCAGCTTCTGTCCAGAGGTGAGATGGGAACGCAGAGAGAGTGAGGAGCTGGTTGAATGGACATGGGGAATCCGGGGCGGAGGGGAGGAGTGTGCTGTCACAGAATGGGGTGAGTGGTTGGGGTCTCATAACAATGTATGTAAAAAAAATTTTTGTATGGGAGACTAACTTGAAATGTAAACTTCATTAAATTACAACAATTAAAAAAAAAACTAGGTGAATATTTAAGCTTGAAAAAATAACTTTCTTCATATCCAGAAAACCAGGTGTTATAATAGAAGGACAGAATTCCACAGGTTTTAAAAATTGCAATTGTTGTTGTTATTGTTGTTAGGTGCTGTAGCCACCCTATGTACAATACAACAAAACACTGCCCAGTCCTGTGCCATCCTCACTATAGTAGATGTGTTTGAGCCCATTGTTGTAGCCACTGGGTCAATCCATTTCCTTGAGGGTCTTCCTCTTTTTCACTGACCCTCTACTTTACCAAGCATGATGTCCTTCTCCAGGGACTGGTCCCTCCTGATAACATGTCCGAAGTACGTAAGACGAAGTCTTGCCATCCTTGCTTCTAAGGAGCATTCTGGCTGTACTTCTTCCAAGACAGATTTGTTCGTTCTTGGATCCACAATCCACACCCATGGAAGCAGCAGTCAGGAAATCAAACAATGCGTTGCATTGGGCAAATCTGCTGCAAAAGACCTCTTTAAAGTGTTAAAAAGCAAAGATGTCACTTTGAAGACTAAGGTGCACCTGACCCAAGCCATGGTGTTTCCAGTCGCCTTGTATGCATGCCAAAGCTGGACAATGAGTGAGGAAGACCGAAGAATTGATGCCTTTGACTTATGGTATTGGTGAAGAATATTGAATATACTATGGACTGCCAGAAGAACAAACAAATCTGTCTGGGAAGAAGTACGACCAGAATGCTCCTTAGAAGCAAGGATGGCGAGACTACGTCAGCGTAATGATTGTGAGGATGGCACAGGACTGGGCAGTGTTTCATTCTTTTGTACATAGGATTGCTATGAATTGGAACCGACTCGACGGCACCTAACAACAACAACAATCTTTACGGAAGCAGACTGCCACATCTTTCTCCCACGGAGTGGCTGGTTGGTTCGAACCTCTGACCTTTCGGTTAGCAGCTGAGTGCTTTAACCATTGTGCCACCAGGGCTCCTCCTGTAAAACAGAGTGGCTGTGAAATGCTCTCCGTGGTTCTTGTTATCTGTGATCCCAAAGTTATAAATGCAGCTGTCGCTAAAACAGAGTGCACTTACCTAGTAGGTCCTGGATAGAAGGGGTCCGGGCTGGGGCGCTGCTGTCCCTGGGCCCTAGGACAGCATTCAGTTTCTCTTCTACCTTTAACCCTTGCCTAGGAGTCCCCTGGTGGTGCAAACAAGTAATACATTCGGCTGCTAACTGCAAGGTTGGAGGTTTGAGTCTACCCAGAGGCTCCTCGGAAGAAAGTCCTGGTGATCTACTTCTGAAAACTCAGCCATTGAAAACCCTATGGAGCACAGTTCTACTCTGACACACGTGGGGTCGCCATGAGTTAGAGCCAAGTCAATGTCACCTGGTAAGCCCGTGCCTGGGTTATGGGTGCCATCCTTTGCAGGCCTGCCTTGCTCTCCTTCAGAGCTTGTTTCCCAGAGGCCTCCAAGTCACAGCTTACGCCTGTGGAGTGCTTACTTAGTAAAGCTTACATAGTAAATGGGCTGTGCTGTTCTAAGCACCTGACACATTTAACTCATGGACTCCTTGCACCAACACTGTGAGATGGACACTGTTGGTACCCCAAGTCTGTGGAAGAGTTAAAGAACTTGTCCAGGTCACATCACTGGTTAGTGCTGAAGCTGGATTCATGCTTAGCCACCATGACCCCTGCCCTTGCAGGAGCAGGCTGCCTGCCCCTCTGTTGGACCCCCTTGTCAACCAGGCCAGACTGTGCTTCCACCTCCTCCGGCCCAAGGCGTGGAGTCTTTATTTTGTGTGGGACCCCAGAGATCAACCCGTGCCCTCTGAGGTTTAAGCTACCACACGTCAGCTTTGTTAGCTTTCTAGGGTGGGAAATCTCCCCAATTGTTGAACTAGCATCTTAAATCGTCTGTTCTCCAAAGCAGCCCCTTCTTTCCATGATTTAGTAAAAACTTGGAAACCTCAAGTGGTTTTTACAAGCTTGTTTATGTTTCTCGTTCTAAGACAAGCCAAGCCAATTGCCACTGAGTCGATTCCGACCCATAGCGACCCTGTAGGACAGAGTGAAACTGCCCCATAGGGTTTCCAAGGAGTGCCTGGTGGATTGGAACTGCCGACCTTTTAGTTAG